ATTAATAGAAATGGATTAATTTAAGATGTAAGAGTTCCTTAATGTGAAGTCTGACCTAATAGACCAAGCAATGTTATAATTACTATAGCTTCTGTGTGATTATTCTACTCGTTGTAGCCAGGAACAAACAAGCAGCTTCCAACTACAAAGTTCCTTTCCAGCTCTTCTATTAATTTTGAAAATTACATGTAAGTGTCTCTTTAGCCTTGGAATGAATCCTTACTTGTAGGTCAGTTTAACCACATTGCTGTGCTTCCTCAAAACTTAAGAAGGAAATATCTCTAATAGTAAGCACTAACGCTGTGAGACAATGGTTTTACCCTGTAAAAATTTGTTTCTTGTACTTGTGTAATAAATACTGATCACACCATAGCCAGGCAGGAAGTAGAGGTGGGGCAACAAGAATGCTGGGAAGAGGGAAGTGGAATCTGCTGTCGTGACCCAGCCTCAGAGGAAGCAAAATGTGACTGCCTCACCAAAAAAGGTACCAAGCCACGTGGCTAACTCAGATAAGATTTATGGGCTAATATAAGTTATAAGATTTGGTTAAGAAGAAGCCAGAGCTAATGGGCAAATCAGTTTATAACTTATGTAGACCTCTGTGTGATTCTTTGGGACTTAATGGCTGCAGGACCAAGTGGAACAAAAAAACGTTAGTCAAGACGCTAAGACTGTGTTCAGAGTACCTGGGTTCTAATCCTGCCACTCCACATAGAAGTGTAACCCTGAATAGCAACCTCAAAAGCCAATGCTTTATGGGATTTTTGGTTTTGTTTGGGGTTTTTTTTGTTATTATTTGTTGTTTTTTAAATATTTTCTATAAAGAGTATACACATACTATAAGTCAGTGTGAGAAAATAAATCTGGATGTGTTAGAAGACTCTGAGGGTCAAAGCATCATCCTCCAAGCCCAGTGACCTGAGTTCCATCACTTAACCCACATGGTAGGAGGAGGCAGCCAACTCCGACCTACATATTATCCTCTGTGTTGACACATATGCAGTACACACACACCGAGACACATTCACAAATCTAAAATGAGTTATGTAAGTGCTTTAAAAGGAAGTTCAATGCATACAAAGCATCCAGTGAACACTCCATAGATGGTTGTTCTGATAATTACTGAGTTTAAGTTCTGATTCCATGCAAAAGTCAGGAGAAGGGACACATGAAGATTTCTCATTCCTGATGTCAAATTTACTCTAATATGCTGTAGATATCTATGACTATAACTTGGTTTTCACATTTATTTTGGACAGGATAATTGTAGTGGTGCTACATTTGTTTCTTATCAAATATGTAAATCCTATGATTTCCATTTTACAGTGAATGATGGAGATGCCAGTGATGCTGTAAACTTCCCTTGTGCTGTGTTGTGAAATGTGAGCAATAGAATGCTTCTAGGAACTTAAGGCATATCCATGGTATTCAACATGGCGCCTGTTTGTCTCCTTCTACTGTGACTGTAATAAAGGATTGTTGAGGCTGAGCACCAGAGCCCGGCATAATGGTTTTGATGCAGTCCTAGCACTTAGGAGGCCGAGATAGGAGGTTGCTGTGGATCTAGCCAGGCTCAGTCACAGAGTCAGACCCTGCTGCATTTTGTCTCACCTTTAAAGAAGAATGTTCCAGGTTCTGGATGAGGTAGTTGGTTCAACGGGACACGGTGGAGAATTGGTGGGCAAAAGGAGTTTATTTGGAGTCAGATTGCCATAGAGAGAGGGACAGAAGCCGGGGAGGGGGGAGGAGAGAGAGAGAAGACTCACCATGGTGACTGCTCCCAGGAGAGCTCAGGGTCCACTACCAGAAAAGACTGAATAGAGTAATCTCTGGAGAGCATCAGGGTCCACATGGCTGAAGAACAAGACTCAGACTTTGTATGATGGAGGGGTAGGTTCACAGCAGGAGCCTGCAGCCAGGCTCTCTAATTTCTAGGGCAGGAGGCAAGACAGACATGTGACACAACATAGGATGCCCTGTCATGAGAACTCACTTAGGTTAGTGTGGCACCAGCAAGGCAGCTCCTGGGGACTCATTTCTAGTGCAACTCCACTGGGACTCTATTTGTGACGGCAGAGAGGCAGTTACAAAGCAGCATGTAGATTGGAGGTTCTAGCACTAATGCTGGCAGAGTATGCATCAGCCACTCAAAACATCACCACGCTTTGTTTAAAGAATTACAGTAGCTGTATTATAAAATATCAGGGCAGTTGTGGCTCATGCATATAATCCCAGCACTAGGAGGCTGAGGTAGTCAGATCTCGGTGAGTTCAAGACCAGCCTGGCCAACAAGTGCTAGTTCCAGTACAGGCTCCACAGCTACAGAGAAACTCTGTCTTGAAAAACCAAAACAAACAAAAACTAATAGATGATTTTATTTAAATTTTAAATTAAAAATTCATTCAAGAAAAATGTGTAACACCCGATTCTGTGTTACCCCCCTGGTACAGTTAGTGCACCACTGTACCTTATGCCAGTCTGGCAAGGGCCTAGAGACGGAAAGAACACACAAAGAGACCTGTGTCATTTGAAAGGGGATCAGGAGAATGCTGTTTATTCAACCTTGGGGAAATTCTTTTATACCTCACTGCTGCACAAGGATTTCCACCCAGACAGGTGGGAAATTACCACACCAAAGATGGACTCAACAATGCCCTACAGCTAATCACCAGGCAGGGCAGAGGGAGCACAAGAACTAACAGAAGGCTTTAGTAGCTGACCAGAAACTGTCCTTAAGATAACCCCAGGAACAAGGGTAGACCCGGGCCCTACAAAATTGTTCTATCTTCATATCACTCCAATGTTCTTTTTGGTTCATATTTCTTCCATAATTGTGTTTCATGGGAAAGCCTTTCCTGGGTTGAAATAAATGTCAGTGTGTATTGACACAGTTAGACTCACACACATTGCCGCACTGCTCAGCAGCGTGGTCAGTGCTGTGCTCTCCTGGCTGCCTTCATTCTTGTCACTGAAGTTCGAGGCTGGTGGCAGACCTGACCACAAAGTCAAATCTTTGCACAAAGACTGGAGTGGAATTGTGTCTCAGAAAGTTCATGAAGAGCTAAATAGCTGTCTGAGGATTTTATGTTTTTTATTACCAAGGAGGCCTTAGGAAGAAACAGAAAATTACTGGATCAAATCGATAAAAGACAAAGATGGTGGCTCATCCCTCTAACACCTGTACTTGCTAGATTGAGGAAGGAGTACTGCCAGAGGATGGAGACCATGCTGAACAGGAGAGAGCTCCAGCCCAGTCTGAGATGTGAAATAAAACCTTGCCTCCAAAACAAAAGCAAACAAAAAGTTGTAAAGAATTTTCTATAATCATTAACAATTCAGAAGAATCAGATTATAATGTTGATTGACAGCCATTGTGTTCACAGCAAGAACAGCAATTCAGACTCTTGTCCTCATCAAGATGTGGAGTTTGGGCTAGGGGTTTATCTCAGGGATGGAACACTGGCCCAGCATTCACAAGGTCCTGGGTTCAATCCCTGAAGTACAAAGACCAAACTAAAACAACAGCAAAAGCACATGGGCTCAGCACTGGGGAGGATGAGGGAGTTAAATCTCAGCTAGAGGTCAGGCTGGGATGCACTGTAAGAACCCGACTCTAAAAATAAAAATAGAAAGAGGAGGAGGTGACAGGTATGTTAAACAAAACTCAGACTACGCTGTCATATCTGCTGTCACTCTGTATGTCATAATTTAGTAGATCTGAGAATACAAGGAACACATGAGATAGGTGTGCAAAAGTGGGGTGAGACTGAAAATGGGGATGGCTCATTTCCCTGATACAGCGTTTCTGTTTTTAGATAATTCTCATGTATCTCAGCTGTCCGGGCATCAAAGTCTCCTATTATTGAGAGTGGTCTCTAAGCTCCTGATCTTCCTGCTGCCAGCTCCAAGGCAGTGGAATCCTGTAACATGAAGGGGTCTCCTTGTTGGGGTATCTGTCCCACCCGGTACCCCACAGACAGCAATCCCCAAAGAAAGCCACACAGAGTGTACATTAGGTTATAAACTGATTGGCCCATTAGCTCAGGCTACTTATTAGCTCTTGTAGCTTATATTAACCCATTGTTCTTTCTATGCTAGGCACGTGGCTCAGTATTTTTCTCAGCCACGTAGATTACATCTTGTTTCTCGGAGGTCTGGACAGGAATCAGAGCAATGGGCTTTCTCCTTCCCAGAATGCTCCTGTTCTCATCGCCCTGCCTCTACTACATGTCTGGTTGACCCGCCTATACTTCCTGCCCGGCCAATCAGCACTTATTTAAAACATGATTGACAGAATACAGACAATTCTCCTGCACCAGAATTCTGTGGTGGTTTGAATAAGAATGGCCTCCATAGGCCCATATCTTTGAATACTCAATTTCCAGTTATTGGGTCTGTTTGGGATAAATTGGAAGGTGTGGCAGTATTGGAGTATATATGACATGCGTGTGAGTTCTGAGACTTCAATACATTCTGGGCATTTCAGGGTCTCTCTGTCTCTGGCTCAGGTTTGTGTCTCAAGTGTGACCTCTCACCTCCTGCCCCAGCACCATGTCTTCCTGCCTGCTGCCATGATCCCCACTGTGGTGGCCATGACCTCTAATCCTTTGAAACTGCAAGCCCCAAATCAAGCACTGTCCCTAGAAGGTGCCTCAGTCGTGGCATTTGTCACAGAAACAGAAGAGTGACTAAGACAGACACACACATGCACGTGTGAGCACACCTGGGTGTGCACAGTGCTCAGGATCCACCCCAGGACTCCACCCTGCTAGGCCTGCACTGTGCCAACTAAACCACATCCCCAACTCTACACATGTTCAGCTTCTAATTCAGGGTATGCTGAGGCAATAGCAACTGTCTCTTAAAGAAACTCTAACTGGAAGGAGACCTGCAGAGACATTCTTAGGAGGGATTCCTAGAAGGGATGTAATTAATGCATCAGATCAGCACTGGGCAGAGGCCCTGCTCTGGGCAGCAACAGAACACCTAATCTGCAGGACACCCCAGGGCAGCTGGAGAGCCCCTGGAGCTTGCTAGTTTCACTGCTGTGAGTGTGAAAAATGTCTCTGAAGGACTCTGCATGGGGCTTCTTCCACCCTGTCTTTGCTGGGTGGGAATCTTGATTGTGAGCAGCTGCCCTGAACTGCAGCTTCCTCCTCCAGCTCGAAGGCTTTCTTTCCATAGGGGCAGCTTTCCAGAGGATGAAGACATTTTTAAATAATTGTACCATGAGCCTGAACAAGTAACCTGACAACTTCCTGTAGCACTGTGTCCTAAGTTTGGGGAAGGCAGAGCTGAATTAGGGGAAATGACTTCCTCTGATGGTAAAACCCCAGATACCAATGTGCTAGCATCCCATTGGCTGGTAGTTATTTAGTTTCTGTTTCTCAGTTTCAGCCCTAAAAGTCTTAACTTTCATTTCTCTTCTTGCTCGGCAGAAATCAGACTTAGGGAAGGAGTCCTCAGGTCAGTGTGGCCTCTATTTGCTCCTCTTCACAAATTCGGGAACTCTTGGTTGGTGTCTGAAAGCCTGAGAGCAAATCTAGAGGGCAGAATTTGGAAGAAAACACTCTTTGTTCTGGTGAGTTTAATTTGAAACTGATAAGGACCAGGAAAGAAGAAATGCTGGCTCCTTGCTGAGTGCTGGGGTGGGGGACAGAGGGAGATGTGGCCTTGGCAAAGAAATTTCAAATTGCACAGTTTGAGTAAAGCCAGAGTTGTGTCTGAATGTGGAGTTGAAGGTCTCGCTGTGTAATAGTGTATTTACTGATGGTTCTATGTTATCACTCCCTTTGCTTCTGTCTCTGTAATTAGAAGTCCCAATCTTTCTGGAGCCTCTCGTACATTTACTTGTGCTGTTTAAAGCCTCAAGTCTGTGGAGAACTGTTAATGTTACTTAAAGATCATTACCCTTGCCTGTCTTTCCCTTGGTCCATGTCTGCATGCCTAAGGAAATTCAGACTAGTAATTCTTGCTACAAAGAAAGATGATGCATAAAAGTAAGAAGAAAGGAAGGAATGAAGGGAGAAAGAAAGAAAGAAAGAAAGAAAGAAAGAAAGAAAGACTCAAATGGTGTTCTTGATTATCATAGTGCTGTTTGTGGGTTGGCAGGCACTTTCTAGTTTGCACTAGGTACAGGATTCAATTCCAAGTAAAGAAACAGAGGAGGTGACAGGGGAAGAAAGGGATTGTGTGTGCGAACACTGGAATTCCACACTTACTGAAGTCACAGCCTTTCTTTTCATTTGGGGCACGTACCCTTACATAGCCCAGGCTAACCTCATCTAAAAGACCTGTGCAACCCTCCCTAGACACTCGGGTTACAGGTGAACACTGCAGCCCCAGGACGTTTCTGCCTTTCAAGGAACAGCCCAAGATTCTGACTGATTTTAATGCTATAAAGACTGAAAGATGTCTGCTGATAGGAAGGTCCTGAGAGCCACCAAAGGACAGGGAACAGGGAATCCCAGCTCCACCCAAGCTAATGTAGACACCAGAGGACCTGGGCCAGGCCTGTGTCCAGGTTGACTTGGAGGAACTGTCATGAGTCCATCCGCTTTCCCTTTGCTCTCCCCTGCTCTTCATCAGCTGTGGACCCCCTCCATGCTGATCTTAGGCATTGACACTCTTTACTGTCATATATTATGAGATATTACAATGCACACATTAGAGTTCTCCAGGTTTTAAACTTTCCAGCATATAGTGAGTACACATTAAGTTGTTCTAGAAAATGCTACTTTGTAAATGAGTCCTGGGACAATTTTTTTTGCCCAGCCTATTTGGAAAAAGAACCACTTTTTATATGATATCAGTACTTTTAAGTTTCATCATAAAAAAAAAAAGGTTTTACCTGCTACTTGACAGACCATGGCTGGTTGACATCCATGGGAGGCCTGCCTTTGATGAACATAATGGGAGAAGGAGCTGATGGGATGGTGGAAGGGAAGAGCTTGGGAGTAGGACTAGGAGGAGAGGAGGGAGGGGATACTGTGGTCAGGATGTAAACACAATAAAAAATGAATAAATAAAAAATGTTTTACGTGTTTCTGTAGGGGTCAGCCATGGTAAGCTAAGTATGGGCAGGTCACTTAAAGGAAGTTCTTTAGTTCCAACCATTATCACCTGCCATGGTAGAACTCTGACCATCCATAAATTTAATGAGGCCTGAGTCTCAGTAGTTTACCCTAAAGCAATGCCTCATTGCAGGAGGAACCTCAAGCTGAGATTAGCCAACCACTGCCCAAGAACAGACCACACAAAGCTGTAGATAGGATCACCTGCCAGCACACATTCACAAAGACAACTCTAGACAAATGTCATCCAATCAGAAGTCCTGAACCTATGAGACCCCTTACCCCCACCTTATTACTATAAAAACCCAATTCTAATTGAGCTCGGGGCTCTCCATTTATTCCAATATGTCGGACATGCAGAGAGATCAAGTTTGCAGACTTTATCAAAATAAAGGCTCTTTGCTTTTACATATGGGACTCCTGGTTTTTTTGTTGGCTTTTGTGGGGACTTCGCAGATTTGGGCATAACATTGCAGAGCTCAAATTCACCAGGAAAAGACCGCAGACTCAATTTAAATTATAATTACCTGAATTTATTAATTATTCCTAGTAGGCCAACAACAGCCTAAAGGACAAATCAAAGGCTTATCACATATGAGGCCGGAGGAGGGGTGTTTTAAGGTGGACAGCCAATGATCTCAATTGTGTGGAATGTGTAGCTGAGTGAGAAACTGCTGGTACTCCCTCAGCTGTGAGGAGCTCTCTCACACAGCACTAAGTGGGTTCCTGAAGCCAGAGGAAGCAGTTACTTATCTCATAGCACTTTTACAATTTGGAGGAGGGTAGCAAGGAGGAGAGTAGCCAGGAGCTTCTCTTTTAGGAATATAGAATAGAAGTTTCCTTATCTGTCACATACCCCAGCCACAAAACAATCTTTCTGTAGCCATATTGTTTGAACTGAATGAACCTAGTTTTTTTTTTACTTAGTGTCTTTTTTTATAAAAGATAAATTTTGCTGGAATGGGAGAGCATTTGGAGGATGATACAGCAACCTACTGCAATAGATACGTCCTGAAATATATTAAAAAATCCTAATGAGGTCCCCTACTAATGGAGAATATGAACTCCCATCAGGCAATTGCTTGTCACCAAACAAGGATTCCAGTGGTGGGACTTCATTGAATTCAATAGAAATGTTGGCCAAGGGGATCACACGGAAAACCCCAAACAACCAAAACTGTTGAAAAGACTCTAGTGGATTTGATTTGTATTTTAATAACTAAAGCTTGCCTGAAAATCAGAGAGTAAAACAGCCCCACTGGTCAGCCTTACAGTCAAAGCAACAATGATACACTACTTTAATCCCAGTAGCTCCACTAGTTTGCCATAGAAACCAGGCAGTAGTTGTGCTTGCCAGTAAACCCAGAATTAAAGAGGATTATAAAACAGGAGGTGATAGCTCAGACTCAGGCTCATCCTGAGATTCCTGGAGGCAGGATCACCATTTAGGACTGAGGTAGAGGTAAGAGCCAGTCACTGGCTGTTTCGCTTTTCTGATCTTCAGATTGAACCTCAATATTTGTCTCTGAGTTTTTTAATCATGCCTTGTTGAAATAGGAGTGGCAGGGCTGCGTCCCCGGCACCCGGCCGCCCGCATGGCTAGCTTATGCCCGAAATAATTACACGGAAACTGTATTCTTTCAAACACTGCCTGGCCCGGCTAGGTCCAGTTTCTTATTGGCTAGCTCTTACATATTGTTCTAACCCATTTCTAATATTCTGTGTAGCCCACGAGCTGGCTTACCAGAGAGGATCTTAACCTGCGTCTGTCTGGAGCGGGAGAATCATGGCGACCCCTCACTAAGCTTCTTTCTCCCAGAATTCTCTTCTGTCTACTCCGCCTACCTAATTTTCTGTCCTATGAGGGCCGAGGCAGTTTCTTTATTATAA